AACCCGGGCCGCACGCATGCCAGGCGAGCGCGCTACCGCTTGAGCCACATCTCCAGCCCCAAGCCTAGTCTTTTCTAAAGATCAGAGAGGTAGAAGATGAGCTTTAGATTGATAAATATGATCACACAATATATATTCCAACTTCAGTAGGAATCCTGGCTTTGACACTTATACCTGTGTGTCTTCGGATGAATCACTTAACCTTTCTGAGCCTCAATTTTATCATCTTGATTAAATATCTTTTGAGATTGAGAAATAAGTTAGGTAATTATTAAAAATATCCAGGAAGCTATTTTTAAATAGTTGTTTGAAAAATGCTTGTCATTATTTTTTTCATAAACTCCAAGGAACCTACTTATGAACTCGTGAAAATTTTCCAGAAACTATAATAAGGAATTTCAGAGACTATGATTAGTTGATATTGCTGTGAATCATGCTCCAGAATCAAACATAGCTGTCAAAAATGTGTCTGACACAATAATGGAATAAGCTACCGACAATAGTATAGTCCCTAAGAGTTTTTAAAGATACCCCAATTCTAAAATTCATTAATTCTGATTGTCAACTATTTGTTGTGGCTACAGCCATTTTAAGAAATGCATTTTTCAGAGCCCCATTATCATAATTCTGCCTTAGAGCAAATCACCCCAAACTTAGTGATATATACCAATGAGCTTTCTTCTCACTCCGGAGACCTCCGACAGCTGAGGTTGGGCTCATCTTACGATGGGTCCAGGCCCATTTGCTCCTAATGTCTTTTACCTTCAATGGGACAGTAACTGTCCGAGGCACGTTCTTCTCATGGCAAAAGGCAGGGGACTAGCAAAAAGGCCAGCACAACCATGCAAGTGCAGGGAGAGCCTCAGCTCACACTGCATTCACAGGATCCCAGGAGCCAGGAGGTCATAAGGCCAGGCCCCAAAGCTGCAGACCCTGCCCACCTTTACACCAGGGCAGGGGTTACAGGGCATGCGAATAGGGGAGTCAGGAGTTGGGGACCAGCAGTTCCACCCTCCTCACCTGTGATGCTGTGAACTATTCCTGGAGTGAGCGCAATCCCCTTTCTAGGCAGTCGAGGGAGGGTCTTTTTGATCTGGCCTTAACCCCACAAGTGACAAGTATCTCTTAGTCCATTGTGGACCCACGCAAGAAGATAGGGCTTCCTCCTTAGTCAGTAAGAACTTTTAAGATTCAGTCATGTGACGAAGCAGCTGAACTGGGCAGAGGAGAGGGGAGTCATGGAGGAGTCCTCTGTGCAGTTAACCCCTCATATCCAGCCCACTGGTCAGACACTGGGAGTGATGACCATCTAACGCCCACTCAGAGGTCTAACAGCATTGAATGCTCAGTTTCCCTCCAATTCTCCATGGTTTTCTGGTCCCTTTCATAGAAACCATCAATGTGACTGATACTTCTGGCTTCAGATAATACAGTAGATCAAAAGAATGGATTAAATTGAATAGGTGCCCTTTTTGCTAGAAACAGCTGTCCTTGACTGTCAATCAGTCATATCCAGACCTCTAAATTGTTGGGTTGAGTCTGGGAGACAGAGGCAGGCATCCGCTAGGAGAAATGACATGAATGGCATTTAACAGAGTGCATGTTTTCAGAGGAGACCCTTCTTTCCAGAAGGCTCTTGTGCACTGCCTGAGGGGCAGAGGATTCATATTCATGCTCAATACTTTTCAGGGAAACCCAGAACTACCCAGAGGGGAGTGGTTTCCCTGTGTGGCAGGTTCCCAGGACTCTCGTTGGCAGACAGAACATCTCAGGGGTGAGAAGCCCAAGCTCTGGAGTCTGGTCTGTGTTCAAACTTGGCTTCACAACTCATTATCTGTGAGACCTTGTAAAACTGGTGCAGGTTCTGTAGCAGCCATGGGTGTTGGCCACGGATGTTCAGTTTGCCTCTCCTCCTGGCACCCAGAGTCCCCTGGCATCTCTGTGCTTGGGTAGGAACATAGGACTAGTTCCAAGCAAAGAATTGTGACCAATATGTGATTTATCACTTCTGGGTTGTACCACTTAACGCCCAGTGAGAGGGTGTCCAGAATTCTCTCTTGTCACTCTGGCACAGTGACCAGCAGCATTCAAGATGGTGGCTGCTCCATCAGCCCAGGCCCCAGGGTAACTACAATGAGCAGAGTCTACCTGAGTGACCTGTGAGAGGCATGCAGCATGAGAGAGAAATGAGTTTGGTGGTGTTAAGCCATTGACACTCTGGGAGCTATTTCCTTCCACAACTTAACATACTCTTCTTGATTGATGTACCTCACTAAATCTTAATTTCTTGAATCTGGCAAAATGAGGATAATAGTGGAATTTACTTTAAAAAGTAAATATGAGGATCAAGCTGTATAGGGTATGTGTAATTCTTAGAATCGTGCCTGGAACATAATAAATTCTAAACATATTTGGCAATGATGGCAGTGATGATGTTTTTTACTGTGTCTCACTTTGTCTCTATCAAGATATCTATTTCTGTCAGACTAGCTATGTATTAGTCATGTGACTTTGAGAAAAAATCAACCTCAAAATTCAATAGTAATAAGTTTCACTAGATGGGTTATGGCTTAAATATCTAGCTTTAAGAATATGGGGTTACAGGCAGTGGCACACGCCTGTAACCCCAGCAGCTTGGGAGGCTGAGGCAGGAGGATCGCGAGTTCAAAGCCAGCCTCAGCAAAAGCAAGGAGCTAAGCAACTCAGTGAGACCCTGTTTTTCTAAATAAAATACAAAATAGGGCTGGGGATGTGGCTCAGTGGTTGAGTACCCCTCCAGTTAAAAAATAAATAATAAAAAAGAATATGTGACTCTACTAAGGACTCCCTCAGGGAATCCGTCCTGACATCTTGAAGATGTTTTGTTGGTTAGGGGAACAAAATGCACAATAATACTAGACATTACCTTCTTCCCTTCCCCCAGGGCTCTCTCTTCCTCCAACAGAAAGATCTAGGCATTTGTAACAGATTTTTCTGTAACCTATTCTGAAGATTTCTTCCCAGGAAATGACATGTGGCTGGCAAATTCTTAGCTACCAATTAGTTTACATCATTGTTAGTCCATCCCCATTCCCTGTTCTGTTGTCACCAATAAGATGTCACCTGACTCCAGGCCACAGACCACCATCCACCACGGCCTTTCTCCTGATAACGTGGACTTTCTTAGTTCAAAAGTTGAGGGTCCTGTCCTTGACCCACTTTGCCCTGGCTCAAGGTGGCCATCCTCACACCACCACTCACCACTTCCAAGGCCTGTTTACCAACTTCTCCAATTTAGGGCATTCCAGGTCTTGATTTATCATCTCTGTCCCTTCTCCCATGTGATTGGCTGGGTCCTTCTCTAGTCCCCAAAGCAGCCCTTCCTGAACTTCCTAAAACACACATTAATATTTTAGGTTGAACAATAGGAAATTGCAATTGTAAGGGATTTGAATATGGCAATTTCTTATAGTTTGACCTACATAAAAATCCCGTTTGGGTAAGAAAAGGAATTTCACTGTGTACATATTTCATTCCATGTTGGGTCCCATGAAGGATCCTCATGTATTTCTCCCTCCTTGCCTTATTCCTGTAGAACGTGCCTTATGCTCTTTTATAACTTCCTCTGGCTCCCACACCCAGCACTTGGTCAGTAGCAGATATGGACACTACATTTATTGACTGATGAGCTGTAGGCCTTTCCTGATATATAGTATTATAGAATTTGGACTGTTTTTAAGGCACCATGTACCACTATTGTGTGGGGGGAAGTAACATTCCTCTAACCTCTTTCAGATCGAAGACATCATCACAAAGATGCAAGATGACAAGACGGGAGGAGTGCCCATCAGGACAGTCAAGAGCTTTCTCTCCAAAATCCCCAGTGTCGTCACAGGTAATGTACTCCTCACAAGGTGCTGGTGGCCACCAGAACAGGCTACTGATGAATGCATGCCGGGATGGTGGCCTGGGGTGTCTAAGAATCTATGAATACTAAAAATGAGGCATTTATTGTGGTTTTGACTCAAGTCTCATCGAGGTCTTGGTTTCTAGGAAGGAGCTATCTTTGCCAATCTTTAAGAATGTCCATGACAGCCTGTGTGTAAGTTGAGACCTCTGGGATTAAACAGATAACTGGACACAATAGCAATTTGGTCTGTGGGACATAAAAAATCACAGAAACAAACAACAATCACAGACGTAAACAATCACAGTAAAGAAATTTACATTAAACGGTTTTTAAAGAAAGCTTTATGTTTAAAAATGCTTTATACCCAAATTCTGAAAGATGCTTTTGAAGTTTTTTAACTCACTACAGTTGAACTTCTGAAAAAGTAGTTTTAAAATATTGTTTTGCATTTCCTTATGTGTTTTTTTATGATCAGACAATTCATTTAATATTTTTGATTGTGAAATGTATTAAATGTGTTTAAAAAACAGTAATGTAACACAGAGCGTACACTCCCACCTCCCGTAACAAATGGCATATTATCTATATCTGAGAGTCCCTTCATGTACCTAGTAGATTGAATCTTCCTGTCTGCCCACAAATTTTATGTTAATCAGTTCATTGCTTTTCTTCATAGTTTGACTTGCTATCCCAATGAATAAGCAAACAAATTAAAATTTTTGATGATGCTCTTAGTCTTAAAATTTGGCTATTTGCTTTCCAAACCTCAGGAACCAACAAAAGTTAGTTTCTACTGTATACCTGTTAGCATGGGTAAAGTGAAACATGCTGACAAGACCAAGTACTGCTGAGGGCGGGAGTGACTGGCAGGCACTCTCATGTATTGCTGGTGGGAATGCAAAATGGTGCAGCTACTTTGGGAAACAGCTTTGCAGTTTCTTACAGAGTTAAACAATGCTTAGCATATGACCCAGCAATCCCACTTCACAGTGTTTACCCAAGAGATAAAAACTTATATTCACACAAAAAACTCATATACAAGTGTTATAGCAACTCAACTCATATAATCTCTACTTACTGGAAACAACCCAGATGTCCTTCTGTGGATGAGGCAATAAACTCAGGTCTACCATATTCAGCAGTAAAAAAGAGTAAACTCTTGATACATGCAACAACCTGGATTTATCTCAACATTCATTTTCCTGAGTGCAAGAAACCAGTCTCAAAAGGTTATATACTGTCCGATTCTGTTTGTATGACTTTCTAAAAAAAAAATCCAAAAATTTTATGGATAGACAACAGATCAATGGCACTGGAAACTGGGGAGGTGGGTGTGGCTACAAGTGATATCGGAAGGGAGTTTTATGAGGTGACACAACTGTTCCATATCCCAACTATGGTGGTGGTAACATGAATTTATAGGGGTCACATTCATAAGAGAGCACCCACACACTCACAGATTGACTCCAGTCACAATATTGATTGGAATCAATATTACCATATTGTAACTAAAAAAGTAAACTCAGTTGAAGTATCCAGGAGTAGCCCAACACATTATCTATATAGTTTCTGTTTGAACTTAAATACTGTCCTATCTTGGGTAACTATAGCAAAGTACCATAGTCTGGGAGGTTTATAAACAATAGAAATGTATTTTTCATAATGAAAGTTCAAAGTCCGAGACCAGGGTGCCATGATGGTCAGGTTCTGGTGAGGGACTGCTTCTACTGTGACCTCACATGACAGCTAAATAGCTCCCTTCCTTCCATTCATTAGGGCTCACCTTCCTCAGTTACCTCCCCAACGTCTCACCTCTCAGTATCACATTAGGAATCATATGTCAGCACATGAATTTAGAGAGGCACATTCAGTCCTCAACAAACACCAATATGGATTTGGAAGTTGTATTTTTAGTGTTCTCTAATTTTAAAATTTATCTAAATATAAATTATACTATCTATATTGGCTCTGAAGTATATTTTTTTAACTTACTGGATTTTGTTACATAATATGTTTAGAATTTTTAAATCTATTTTCATGAAAAAAAAATTGTCTATGGTTTTTCTTACTTTCATTGCTGTTTGGGAATCAAATGTACACCAGCTTCCTAAGAGTAACCATGAAATATATCTCTTCTGTTGATATTGTGTTGTTCTCTGAAAAATAAGTTTCTCTTTATCCAGCTAAGTATTAAATCTCAATTATTTTTTATTTCTAAAATTTCCATCTTCTTCTTTTTCCAACATGTTTGGTCATTTATTTATTATTTATTTAATCCTTTACATACTTGATGGATGTTTACTATTTTCTAAGTGTTGTTAGTTGAGATTCATAAGTAAATGAAACAGATACAAATTCCTATTCTTGTGGAATTTATATTCTGGAAAAAGAGACAATGGACAAGATTAATAAGGAAATTCATAGAATTTTACATAGTGATGAAAACCAGGGAGAAAAATTAAACCTGTGAAAAAGGTAGAAAATATTAGAGTATTTTAATTCGGGGATTAAAGGTGGTTAATGAAGAACTCCCTAAGAATATAACACTTGAATAAAGGTAGAAAGGAGATGAAAGATTGAATCGTGTGGATATTGAGGGAAAGAGTTCCAGACAGTCATTCCTATGTCCCCAGGATGGGAGTCTTCCTGGTATATTGAGGACTTGTGACAAGGGAACCAGAGTGGCTAGAGCAAGGCAGATAAGGAGAGTAGAGCCGAAGACAGAGTGACAGTGGACAGCCAGAAAATGAAACTCTCGGTCATCACAATGCCACCTGCATGGGGTGATGTGCTCTGACTTCCCTTTCAACAAGATCACTCTCTTGTGTTCAGAAGACACAGGGATGGGGTGGGGTTGAAGTGCCAGGTCGAGTCTGTCATAAAAATGGCGGATCAGATTAGACCCTCCATATTAGAGGTGTGTGGAGTGGTCAGATTCAAACCCAAGTTCAAGAGTGAAATAGATGGTTATTGGGGTTAGCTCAGATGCAGAATGTGAGAGAGATAAAATTCGAATCAACAGTGATTATATACCTTTTTGAGCAACTGGAAGACTGGAGTCGCCATTAATTTTAATAGGGACGACTACAAGGGGACAGGAGATTCGTTTGTTTGCTTGTTTGTTTAGCTGGAAAGTAAGAAATCAAAAGATGGATTTAAAGTTCTAGAGAGCCTTAGACGTTAAATTGGAGGTTTTTGTACATAGATCCAGCAGACATTTAGGTATATAGCTCTAGATCTTAAGGGCATATCTGAGCTGAGGACATTGAAATGGCATTTAGAGCCATGGGATTAGTAAATTCTCCAAGGCAGTGAGTATAGATAGAACCCATAGTCCATGTCCTATAACTTGGAATACCCATATATAAAGAGGTCAGGGAAAGAAGGAGAAACCAGCAAAGGAAATTGAGAAGAATTCTCTTCAGACAAAGAAGAACATCAGGAAGATAGGATTTCTTGGAGACCAAGTTTTCTAGAAAATGTTTTGAAATGGCGTGATCTACATTAAATACTGCTGATAATCATGTAAGCTAAGGTCTGAGGTTAGCAATACGGAATTCCTTGCTGACCTTGGTAAACACACATCCTGTGAAACATGGTGACAAAATGCCTTCGTGGAGTGGGTTCAAATCAGAATGGGAGAAGAGCAAACTGGGATAGTAAGTGTATAGTAATCTTTGGAGTTTTCCTTAAAAAGAAAGGAAGGAGGAAGGAAG